GAGCCTTCGGGAGCTAGTAAACACACTACTGGGTTCTTGTTAGGGGATTTTATTTAAATTACCATAGTGGGGATCTATAGTAAATAATATGGTTTCCTTATTATGGTAACTTAGATTAAATCCCCTAACAAGAACCCAGACTATGGAGGAGAGCCTCAGGGAACAAGGGTTTAGGGTTTGGGGTTTACGGTTCATGTTCAGTTAAGCAGTTAGTAAGCACACCAAGTTAAGGGGTTTAGGTTCAATGGAGCCTCTGGCCGAGGTATGGCGGAGGCCGGAAGAACTACGGTAGCAATCGTATCCCCGCCAAGCCCCTATAATCGCATCAGAACCCTAATATATGACAAACATGTTAGGGGCTATGAGGGGAAACTGAAGCCATCGACATTTATGGTCGCACGCATCAGAACCCCAAACCCTAAACCATGAAGGAACACAAAAAAGGTCGAGTCCACATACAGCTTAGGAGTTACCGGGTTTTGTCGGTCCTAAATTGAAACCTGTAAAACTCGCAGGAACCTAAACAACCCTCAAAGTAGCAGGGTCCTGATTGAGAGCTGTTTTGAAGTTGGAACCCTTTGATAAAAAAAGGATCCTCTCTTTAGAACCTTTAAACGGGATCCGAAACTTAAATAAAAGGATTCGTAACCGCAACCATCAAATCAAGACCTTAAACCCTCAAAATATATCCTTGTAATGGAGAACGGCGACACTGATTGTTCCAAGAAACCCTAAGGCTTTAGGGTTCAGGCTGGGCACGGGACTATATGGGAATGTTCGAACACGACTATATCCTAATGGTTTAAACCCTAAGTATCTTACACCCTCGTTTAGGCATCAAACTAGCGAAGTAGTCGAGTACTGATGCTATCCCCTAAGGGTCCATGTACCCAAATAGTATATACTTTGGCCTTAATGTAGTCCCTATATAGGTACTTTAGGGCCAATGTAGATACTGTTTGGGTACATGGACCCTTAGGGATCTAGCCGTTAGACATCCTTACAGTATGCGTCTCGGCGACCTGCGATGTACGTAACTGAAGCCTGCAGCACTATCGATCTAACCCTAAACCCTTACCAAACCCCCAATTCCTGACCCCGAAACCCCTAATCCCTAAGCCCCTAAACTCTAAACCTCTAAAGCTCTAAACCCCTAAAGCCCTAACCCCCTGAACCCCAAATGTCTAGACAAGAGACATCTCGATGAACTCGGGCATCTCGAAGAAGCGGTTGTCATTCTCGTCGAAAACGCCTGTCGCACCCAGAGTTGCGGTCATCGCGGTGCTGGATACAGGACAGGTCATAGGGTTGAGGGTGTAGGGTTTATACTATAGGGTTTAAACCCTTGTTAAACCCTAAACCCTACAGTGGGTTTAGGGTTTAGGGATGTCTTCAAACCCCTGACTAATCAACCTCCCTCTTCGCAGGAAGACGTATGTCGGGATCCTATTCCGAAGGCCTGTTGATCAGGGGTCAGCATTCAAACCATTGTAAACAAAACCTATGAAAACTCATGGATAACGCTCAAAAAACCCTCACAAAAAAAAAAAAAACATAACCGGTTGAACAATCGAGAAATTCCTGCCTAGGAGGTCTATGAAAGAACCTCATAAAATAATATCAACCCCGACGAAGCCCTGCGTGGTTCAAACCTTTCCAAAATCCTCCAAAACCCCATCGACCCTGAACCTTTATGGATCCCTTAACTTTCTAAACCCCAGCCCTAACCTGTCAATCCTAAACCCTGAATTCTAGAGCTACCCAGACCGTCCAACATCCCTTGATCAAGGAATATACCGTAACTTATAGTAGGATCCCTCACAAGATTTAAGCTGTATTCCTGAACTCAGGGATTTTGAGTGGTATGAGCCCTAAACCGTTACTAAGCTTGATAGATCTCTGATAGATTCCTTAGAGGAACCCCAAATCCTACCCTAAGGGTCCATGTACCCAAACAGGATATGCGTAGGCCTTAAAGTAGTCCCTATGTAGGTACTTTGGGGACAAGATGGATGCTATCTGGGTACATGGACCTTTAAACCCTAAACACTTATGGTACCCTTATAGAACCCTTTAAAGGAACCCTTAAAGAAGCCCTTTTAGGTTCATTATATACTATGTGGGTACATGGACCTTTAGGGCGAGAGCAGACCCCGGCCCCGGCCTAGGAGGAAGCGGACTTTCTGCTTCTTCGAGATCGCCGTGGACATCCTGGGCTGCTGTTTTTGGAGCTTAGTAAAATACTATAAGATAAGGAAACCCCTATTATGGTTTCAGGGTTTAAGGTTTAGGCCCTAAGCCCTACAATCCCCGTTATGATAACTTCCGTAACAGCCTAAACCCTAAACCCTAAACCCTTAGCCCCAAAATCTCGTTATGGTAGCTTCGGTAACAGCCTAAACCCCAAACCCTACACCTCAAAAGAAACCCTAAACCCTAAACCTTAAACCCTAATTTCCTAAGCCCTAAACTCCCCCTTATGATAACTTCCGTAACAGCAACCCAGCATCAGGATGCAGGCGGTGAGGAAGGCCGGGGTGGAGACTTTGACCTGCTCCGGGTGTCCCTTTTGAAGGGTTCCTTAAATGGTAGGGTTTAGGGTTTAGGGTTTAGGCTTCAGGGTTTAGGGTTGCCTTAAAGGGTTCTAGCCCAGGGTTTCGGGTTTAGGGATTATAGGCTTCACCCCTAAACCCTAAACCCCCTAAACCCTAAACCCGCTAAACCCGAGATCTCATTATGGTTTAGGATCCGACATCCTAGAGTTTTACCGGTTAGGGCCTGCCATGAACGGGTCAGAGCCTCTATTTTGGTAGGGCTTGCGGCTACGTCACTTGAAGGGTTCTACGGGCGTGTAAGGGATCAAGATGGGCTCGATAACCCTTACCCTCAAAGGACTCATATGTTAAGGCTTTTGGGCCAAAAGGCCCTATTATGTAAGGCTTCTGTTTTGATGCTAAGGGTAAGGGTTTATTGCCGGGTTCAGGGAAAAGGATTTTCGGGTGAGCGTTTAGGGTTCGGTGTGTAAGGTTAGAGCCTACGCTGATCTAGTTCCTGCAGGACTCCACATGCGGACTTGTATCTGGATGCGACAAAATTTGCTTCAGGTATGCAGCTTGAAGCTTTAGGTTTCAGGTTGCAGGGTCAGGATTGTGGACATTTGGGGCCTATCGTGTTCTGGAGTGAGTAGTTGGCTAAACCCTTTACCCAAACCCTAAACCCTAAACCCTCAACCCTAAAGTCTAGACCCTAAACCTTAAACATGCTAAACCCTAAGACCTCTACCTGAAAGCAGCACTTCCTGGAAACGCCTGGGCTCTGTTCTGCAAAGCTTCGGGTTGCAGCTCAAACCCTGCGAGATAATGGGTTGTGACCGCCAATATCTATCTATCGATCTATCTATTTTTTTTGCTTTCTTTATGGGCTTTCGCACGGTTTTGTGGGGTCTTTGCGAGAATTTGTAGGATGTTTGCAAAGCCCGGTAAAGACCTCATAGGGTCGCGGTAAGGATGGTATTAGGGCTTGACCGGGTTCTTGATTCAAAGCAGCTTCGAACAAAAGCCCTAAACCCTAGACCCAAAACCCAAAACCCCGCGACCCTAGCAATAACCAACCAATCAGTCTATCTATCTATCTTTCTATCACGCTCTATCTTTCTATCTATCTACCTGAAAGTATACCTCTCTATCTGCCTGTCTGTCTGTCTGTCTATCTGTCTACTCAAATATATGTTTATCTATTTATCCTACTATCTACCTATCGATCTATCTGTCTATCTAGCCATCTATCTATCCGTCTAGCTGTCCATCTATCTACCTGTCCATCCCTCTCTCTCCCATTCCTTATCGATCTGCCTATCTATCTATCCATCTATCGGTCTACCTGTCCATCTATCTAGCTGTCTATCCCTCTCTCTCCACCTCTCTATCGATCTATCTATATATCTATCTATCTGTCTGTCTATCTATCTATCTATCTATCCATATATATATATGTACACATATGTGTCTGTGTTTCTGGATCTTTGTGAACCTATCTATGGACATTTCTTGGAATCTACCTATCGATCTACCTACCTACCTACCTACCTACCTGCCTACCTACCTCCTACCTCCTACCTACCTACCTACCTACCTACCTACCTGCCTGCCTACCTACCTACCTACCTACCCACCTACCTACCTACCTACCTACCTACCTACCTACCTACCTTTCTATCTATCTATATCTATCTATCTGTGTATATGTATGTATGTATGCATGCATGTATGTATGCATGTATGTATGCATGCATTTATGTATGTATGTATGTCTGTGTATGTATGTATGTATGTATGTACGTATGTATGTATGTATGTATGTATGTATGTATGCATGTATGGTTGGTTGGTTGGTTGGTTGGTTGGTTGGTTGGCTGGTTGGTTGGTTGTAATAGTTAATTACAGCGTATGTAACTATGTGTAATCTAAGTATGTACGTACGCATGTATGTATGTATGTATGTATGTATGTACGTATGTATTTGTGTATGTATGTATGTATGTATGAATGAATGTATGAATGTATGAATGTATGTATGTATGTATGTATGTATGTACTACCTATGTATATAATATACATACAGAGCATGTGCAAGCTTGCGCTGATAAATTGTTTCTTGCAGCATTAGGACCGCTAATCCCTCTTGCCAAGATGGGCGTCGCAGTGCTTGATAGGTCTACGTAGGGTTGCAGGACATCTTCGGCTGTGTACTTAAACTGTACCAGGTAGCATGCTAAGCTGCTAAGCCTTCTGACACAATGAGGCGGTGCTCATTCCATGCGCTAATTAAACTCAAAAGTCGGAGCACGAAAACCTCCGCCTATATCAACCTAGGGTTCAGGGCATGGAACTCTCACAGGACCCTGGAGAACGCTTATAACAACGACGATTGTATGACTCCCCTCCCTGACGAAACCCCCAACAAAAGCGCTGGCAAAACCCCTCAGTGCCAACATTTTTGGGCTATACTGCTGAGTCATGGCAAGTCGTCTCCTCAGGCACGGTGTGCCAGGAGGGAGGATACTCGTTCGACCACGCCGTATAGATCATTCTTGACTCCTTCCTTGGTCATTCCTAAACAATAACAAAGGATCACATTCACGGGCACCTTTTTGAACCAAAACAGTAGGAAACCCAGTCCACAAGAGTGAACAAGATCCCCATGTTTGACCAAGGTTCCGGCCAAGGTAAATCTCACGACCATGTGCAATGCGATGGTTGTCTAGCATCACGACGTCGTGCTGCCGGTAGGCGTGGTTGCGTGTGTGTTCGTGAATGGCGGCCTTCATAGCCTGCAGTTCTTTGGAGGAGAATGCCTCGCCAGAGCCCTTCAGAACCGTGGAGCCCATGTCTTTGTCTGGCACGAAGAAGCTGTAGATGCCAAACAACCCGCGATAGTAGAGCCACAGCCTTTCTTCAGCCAGAAGCAACTATCAAACCCGTTCAACTTGATCCGTCTCACACTAGGAAGCAATGACAGCTTGAACACAGGTTGGGCATGTATACCGGGATCTTACAGCAAATACTCGTCGTATCTCGTCGTCTAGAGCCGGACCGCCACCATGACTACACCCCGAACCATACACAAGGACCCCACAAGGGAACCCAAAACCCCGACAACGACAACAACAATGAAACTCTAAAAGCCGTTAAACCCTGAAGCCCTAAACCCTACAAAAGCCCTAAACATTAGACCCCAAACTTGACCCTGTACCCTAAACCCTAGGTCCCAAAATCCAACGCCCTTAACCCTAGACCCTACTCCCAAAAGAATCCTCTGCCCGAACCGCCACAAAGTCCGATGCTAAACCCCCGGTGCTCCAGCAACATAGCGTTTAGGCGTTTAGTTTAGGTGTTTCGGTTTGCAGAGCTTTAGGGCTTAGGGTTTAGGGACAAACCCCTCAGAGGCTTTTCGAGGGTTCTTTGAAGGGCTTCTGTCGGGGTATTGTTGCGCTTAGTAGAGGGGACTTATCAGGGTTTTGGGGTACATTACACGTAGATAGAGAAGGGGGGATAGTAGTCCTAGCCATCTCCACCTCAGGCCGTTCAAACGCATGTCGGTTTTGCTGTTTTAGTCGAAGACTAGGGGTGCACAGCGATTGCGTGTTCAGGGCTTTCCTGTCTGGGGTTAGGTATTGGGAATTTGAGGTTTTAGGGTTCAGGGTGGGAGGGGAAGGTTCCTCGAATTCAAGCTGTGTTTTTACGACAGACTCAAGGTCTTGAAGTGTACGAAACTCGGGCATGCTGTGGCATACTAGCCTCCGGGGCATGACAAAAGAGCATCAACTTGAATTTACATAACCCCTCGGATTCAAAGTGCAACAAAATTGTAAATGATTCCTTCTGCGAGCCCCCAATGAACGCCGTGGGCCACAAGCGCGCAAGACCAGGCCAAAGAGTGGCAGTGCGAAAATAGTCACCAGGCCTTGTAGCAAGGTTTAGGGTTTAGGGTTTAGGGGCTAACTCGTTATTTCTTTAAGGGTTCCCAGGGTTTAGGGCTTAGGGTTACAAGGGTTACTATAGTCACCAGGCCTTATAGTTAGGAGGGATGCTTTTAAGGGTCCTTAACCCTTATAGGAACCGTTACAGGAACGCTAAAGGGTTCCTTAAAAAGTTCCTTTCAAGGGTTGCTAATCCAGAGAGTCCACATACACTACGATTATGGAATTAGGCCCCAAAAGACCATCCTTATTATGGTTTTGATGTGGGCAATTAATTGAGGCTTTGGGGCGGTTTAGGGTTTTAGGGTTTTAGGGCTGTAGAGTTTTAGGGTTCTAGGGTTTAGCGGTTTAGGGTTTAGGGGTTTTAGGGTTTAGGGTTTAGGGTTTGGGGCAAGCGTCATCATTTGACCGTGCAGGACGTTGATGTGGTTGTACCAAATAGGTCGGCCACTCAGAGCATGTTTTCGAATAAACGGCTGTCGATTTCGCAAAGTCAACCTATTCGAAGCGTCCCAAGTGCAGTTGAAGCCCTCGGTTTCGCAATTTCGCTTTGCATCCTTTTCGTCTTTGAACATCATCTGCCAGCACTTCCTTGGCTAGGTCAACAGAGAATGCAGGGGTACGTAACTTGCTTTACTGGTTGGATTCATTGCTTTTGTTTGCTTGGAAAACATTTATTACCCAAAGGGTCCAAAGTACCTACATAGTAGAATGTAGGGTTTCTATATTAGGAATTACTATTATGATTTGGGAAAGTATCCCCCATAACAGTACCTAGGACCCTTTGGGTTACGGAAGCAACCTGGCAGCAATCCATACCCCGGTAGGATCTCAGCCCTAAATCCCACAAGCGAGTAGCACAAGATTCAACGTTTGGGTTTTAAGACGTCAAACCGAGCCGCTGAGTCAAAAACCTATGCCACACCTCGAAACCTGAAAACTCCGAGCCCAAGGGAAACCTTGACCTTAGTTGCTGAGTTCACAAGCACAAAAAAGTGTGCACTTGCAGTTCTACATGGGGTCATATTATCCCAAAAAGATTAAAGTGTAGTCATTCAGCTACTAAGCTAAGTTACCTGTTACCCCATCTCTACAAAATGGAAGGTCATGACTCCTTTCTTGGGGTCTAACTACACAGACCTTCCAAAATCCCTTAATGCAGGAATGTACTTTACATAAATTACATAAGAGGCATCCGACCATAGTTTCGGGTTTATTCTCCAACTGAAGGAATTTGGATGGTCTGTCCCCTAAACCATCCTAGAAGGTTCCGGGATCCCAAGACAACCGCCGGGCTTCTGCGCCCCAAAACACAGAAGCCAAAGTTCAGGAAATCAAAAGACGGTGTTAAGGTCTCAGCCAACCCTAAACCCAAAACCCTAAACCCCTAAACCCAAGGCCCTAAACCCCTAAACCCACCCCAAGCCACCACAGGCCAGACACAAAAGAAACAAGACCTGGCTGATAAACTGTGCTTATACGAACAGTTCATAATACCGGAAACCCACAAGCAAACACAAAAGCTCACCTGCACGAAACCCTCAACCCTAAAGCTCTAAAGCCTAAACCCCTAAACCCAAAACCCTAAACTAATCCCCTAAACCCCTAAACCCCTAAACCCTAAACCCCCAAAACCCTATAGATCCCTCATAGATCCCTTAAAGGAACCCCTTTTAAGGAACCCCCCTATGCTAAACTCCAAACTCTAACAACCCGGCGTCTGAACCAGTGGGTCGAACTGAGAGGTGGAGGCACAGTCGTCCATGTTGCGCAGATACTCGAGCCTAGGCTCAGGCCCTGTAAGAGGGCTTAGGGGTTTATAGGGTATAGGGGTTTAGGGTGTACAGGGGTTTAGGGGTTAGGGTTTAGGGTTCCAGGTTTAGGGTTTAGGGTTTAGGGTTTAGGGCTTGGCGGTTTAGGGTTTAGGGTTTAGTGTTCAAGGTTTAGGGTTTAGGGTTTATAGGGGTTTACGGGTTTAGGGTTTAGAGGTGTAGGGTTTAGGGGTTTAGACTTTAGGGTTTAGGGATTTCAGGGCTTACGGCTTAAGCAACAAGAGTTACCCTAGACCCTAAACCTAAGGATGTGAGATGTGAGAGTTGAGATTTGGGGATTTCAAGGGTCTCGGGGTAGTTGGCGATACCGTAAGAATGAACGTAATTATATGTAAAGTATGCGCCCTGTAACTATATACTGTGGTAAGCAAGGCCGTCTTCGATTAAAAACCCTACAGCCCTACAAACCATAATGCAAACCCTATATCATAAGCCTAAGCCCGATGTTCGTTGTCAAAGATGACATCCTAAACCCGACACCCTAAACGCCCCTACAATACACCCTTACAGCAACCCATATAGAACCCTATTACACAGAACCCACACATATATATATATGTATAGATCGATAGATAGATAGATAGATAGATAGATAGTACATCAAACTCACCTAAGTCCTTAACCCGGAACTCCTGATCCCTATATCCCTACACCCTAAAGCCTATAGATGCCTTACAGACCCCTTAAAGGATCCGTTAAGGGAACCCCCTAACAAGAACCCTAAAGCCTCAAGCCTTAACCATAAACCACAAAACCCCTAAACCCTAAAACCCTAAAACCCTAAACCCTAAAACCCTGAAGCCCTATCTTAAAGGATCCCTTAAAGGAAGTCCCTAACAAGAACCCTAAACCCTAATCCCTTAAAGGAACCCTGAAATTAAAGGAACCCCCTAACAAGAACCCTAAAGCCTAACCCCTTAAAGGAACACTTAAAGGCCAAAACCTAAACCCTTAAAGGACCCCTCAACGGAACCCTGAAATTTAAGGAATCCAGGAGCCTAAACCCTATAAACCCCTTCAAGGAAGCCCGTAAAAAGAACCCTAAAGCCTGACAACAAAGGATCCCTCAAAAGAACCCCGAAATTTCCTAAACCCTAAACCCTAAACCCTAATCCCCTAAACCCTAAAATCCCCAAACAAGAACCTCAAAGCCTAATAAAGGAACCCTTAAAGGAATCCTTAAAGGAACCCTGAAAGTTAAAGGAAACCTAAAGCCTAAACCCTATAAACCCCTTCAAGGAACCCCCTAACAAGAACCCTAAACCCTAAAAACTAAAAACCTGAAACCCTATCTTAAAGAATCCCTTGAAGGTATCCTTAAAGGAACCCTTAAAGGAATCCTTAAAGGAACCCTGAAAGTTAAAGGAAACCTAAAGCCTAAACTCTATAAACCCCTGCAAGGAACCCCCTAACAAGAACCCTAAAGCCTAATAAAGGATCCCTTAAAGGAACCCCGAAATTAAACCCCCAAGCCCCTAATCCCCTAAACCCTAAACCCCTCAACCCTAAACCCTATCTTAAAGGATCCCTTGAAGGAAGAATTTAATCCCTTAAAGGAACCCTGAAATTCCCTAAACCCTGAACCCTAAACCCTAATCCCCTAAACCCTAAAATCCCCTAACAAGAACCTCAAAGCCTAATAAAGGATGACTTAAAGGAACCCCGAAATTAAACCCCCAAGCCCCTAATCCCCTAAACCCTAAAATCCCCTAACAAGAACCTTAAACCCTAAAACCCTGAAACCCTATCTTAAAGAATCCCTTGAAGGTATCCTTAAAGGAACCCTTAAAGGAATCCTTAAAGGAATCCTTAAAGGAATCCTTAAAGGAACCCAGGAGCTCTCCGGTCTCAAACTGCTCTCTAAGCGCTGGATCTTCCGCGAGCTTCTCCCAGACTGCCTCCAGGTGTCTGCCCCCCTAAGGTGGGTACGGCGTTTAGGGGTTTAGGGGTTTAGGGTTTAGGGGTTTAGGGTCGAGGGGTTTAGGGGTTTGGGGTTGAGGAGTTTAGGGTTTTAGGCTTAAGCGTTCGGAGCAGATTCTTATATGGCCGACAGGTATATACTGTTGGTACCTGGACCCCTTTAGGGTCCAGGTTCTAGGAGAGGCCCTAAACCCTAAACCCCAAACCCTAAACGCTAAACCCCTAAACCCTAAACCCCCAAAACCCTAAAGCCCTAAACCCTAAAACCCAAATCCCCAAACCCTAAACCCTAGAGGGCGTAGAAGTTGTGCACCTGCATGTCCGTGAGGGGCGTTTCTCCTCCCACCCATTGGTCCACTCTCTTGGCATAGAAGAGCCTCAGCTCTTTAAGGGTTCCTTAAAGGTGCTGAGGTCTTATAGCCAAACTCTAAACCCTAAACCCCTCAACCCCTGAACCCTAAACGCCTAAAAACCCCTAAACCCTAAACCCCTAGACCCTAAACCCGAATCCCCTAAACCCTAATCCCCTAAACCCCTAAACCTGGGAAGGCTTATCAGGGCTTCAGCTGCAAAAATCACTGGGAGTTCCCTTTCTGACACGTTTGGGGCTTGGGGGGCTGGGGGTCGATGTGCCCATCTGGCATCTACTTTGGTCTAAGGGTTTAGGGGTTAGGGGTTTAGGGAGGGGTTAGGTGTTTAGGGGTTCAGGGGTTTAGGGATTTAGGGTTTAGGTGTTTGGGGGTTTAGGGATTTAGGGTTTAGGGTTTAGGTGTTTGGGGGTTTAGGGGTTTAGGGTTTAGGGTATCCTTGTAAAAAAGCCTGATCTTGAGGCCTAAGTACATACTATACTACATATGTAGCTACATGAACCCCGCGGGATGCTAACGAAGGCATTTGCCCAGGAGCTGTGTTGCAGGAGGGAAGTCGCGGAAAGACATCTCTATATGAACTGGAACGGTTCCTTGGCTGACTTCTGAACCCCTCCAAAAAGTTAAACGTTTAGTCTCCTCATTATAGTTCCTATAGAAGCCCAAAAAGTTAAAGTCCTAAGGGTCAACCAGAAGAACGCCAAGGTTCGATGTGGCTGAAAGTCCGCAGCGGTAAAGACGTAGGTCGTGTTTTGGATCCCGCTTCGGGGGGAGGTCCCCAGGTACTCCTTCTCCTTGCCCAAAGGCTCCATGTACCCTTATAGTAGATACTTAGGCCTTGAAGGGGTTCCTATATAGGTACTTAAAGGCCTATGAATATAGTAAACTATATACCCTAAGGGTCCATGTACCCAAATAGAATATACATTGGCCCTAAAGTACCTATACAGGGCTACATTAAGGCCAAAGTATATACTCTTTGGGTACATGGACCCTTATGGAGCCTTAGGGATGGTGTACAAGACAGGCAAGCCCAAACCCCGACCCGGAAAACCCGAAACCCTAGGGTTGAGGATATAAACCCTGCATTACCCCACAATAAGGAATATACCATATAATTCCCATAGTTAATTAAATTAGGGTCCTTAAGGTAATGCAGGATTTATATCATCAACCATATCAACCCTGAACCGGTGGGTAAGCCGGATAAATCTCTTTGAGTGCACATGCCCATGTAGTATCTACTTTGAATCTGTGAAACCCTAACCCCTAAACCCTCAAGAGCCCGCGCAGAAGGCCTATCATACCCGAAGTATGTATATATATATATTACACGTGAAACCCTAAACCGCTAAACTCTAAACTTCCCAGGCACCAAACACTGAGCCCTAAACTCTCTGTGCATAAATACATGGACCTTCCTGGCCCTGACATCATAGACCAGTTTTGCTAGACCGCTATCGCCTGAGCACCTCTAAGAAACCAGCATTTAAGGGATTTAGGGTGTGGGGTTTCGGGATAGGCCCATGAATCACGTGAACAGCGGTTTCCGTGGGCGCTTGTTTGTGAGTTGATATGGCTGCCTAGTAAGAATATTGGTGAGTGTATGCTTGGGCTGGCTATTGGGGAGTCTCATAGAAACCCGGAGCTCAAAACAAAAAAACTAAGCACTACACCCCTAAACCCCTCCCTAAACCCTAAACCCTAAACCCTAACCCCTAAAACCTGCCCTAAACTGTAATCCCTAAATCCTTAAACCCCTACGCCCTGCTTCATATCAAAGGCTCGAGATTGGGCACCATCGCCAGCGCCACTGCTTCAAAGGCAGACGCGTCTTCAATCTGGAAACCGCGGAACAAAAGCGCGCCATACTGCACAAAAGCATGCCTCAAGCATTTCCTGGGCTTTACCCCTAGGCCCCTAAGTAGTTCCTTTTTGGGATTATATGTAGAATCCTATAAGGTATATAATCCCAAAAAGGAACTACTTAGGGGCCTATGGGTAGCATTAAGGCACTTGGACTAAACCTACCATCAAAAAAGCGTTCTTCTGGAGAAAGTAAGGTGGTTTCCGTGTTATGATAACTTTAGATTACATTCCTTATGAAAAGCCCGGCTTCGTGTTCTTTTGCATCCAGTCTGTTAGCCAGGGTGAATCCAGCACCATCTCCGTCTTGGGAGAAATCCTCGCCAGGAAACCCTAAACCCTAAACTCTAAATCCTAAACCCTAAACCCTAAACCTAAGCCCTGAACCCTAAGTCAGGGGTTTCGAAATGCATGCTT